CACTATTTTATCTCCCTGTCTCTCTACCTGTCTTTCATTAGGTCTGTGCACGTGTAGTCGTGTCTTAACTAGATATAGATGATCAAATTTGGCAACTTAATTTCTCTCAGACACTAAGCCTATTTTTGTCAATTATTACCTTATTCTCTATTCTGATTCAGATTTGGGTCCCGTCAAATCCTAAAGGAGCAGAGAGATTACCTCCAGGGATTGTTGCATCTGGAGCAGACTTTTACCTCCGCAGATTGTGGGGTGAACCTAGTGAGGTAAGAATTCTGTTCAAAACATAGTTTAATATGCATAATACTAGGTTTTTTCTTACACCATAAAAGTATCTACTATTTTGAATGCAAAACACGGTTTGGTTCATAATTAACAACTTGTTAAGATTGAATAGAGTGGATTTTTTGAGTTAAAGAAAGAAATAACTTTTATGAGAACAGATAAAACTTGATATGGACTCAGAGAGTGCAAAATCCATTATCCTAATGTAAGCCTAGTTTCTAAATTAGTAAAAATATATAGAAATGAGATATTGTAATCTTTTCTTTAAATTTGTTGTCTGATCAATTCGACATTAATCAGGATTTGACCAGCAAACCAAAGTATCTGGTAACCTTTACCGTTGGTTATGATCAAAGGAACAACATAGATGCAGCAGTGAAAAAGGTCAGCAAGTCTTCCTTTACACCCCCACTCCAGCCCACTCCACACTCTCTCTTTCTCTAAGCATGCTCTTTCTACAGTTTTCAGAGAATTTTACCATCGTTTTGTTTCATTATGATGGCCGAGCTTCTGAATGGGATGAGTTTGAGTGGTCAAAGCGGGCTATTCATGTGAGTGCCAAAAAACAGACAAAATGGTAAGGAACTGTTCACGAAATTTTATGATTACTTTGATGATTTTGATTACCCTATAATCGATTCTTAAATTTGAATTTCCATATTTTGTGAAAGGTGGTATGCTAAAAGGTTTCTGCATCCTGACATTGTTGCTCCATATGACTTTATATTTATTTGGGATGAAGACCTTGGAGTTGAGAATTTTGATGCCGAAGAGTGAGCATCTAATCAACCAGTTTCCTTTTTGATGGAAAACTTAATTAGCTAACCCGTGTTGCATGTCTTTCTTCGCCTTTACCCATTCCAGATTCATCAAACTTGTGAGGAAACATGGGTTAGAAATTTCTCAGCCTGGTTTGGAACCCAATCGAGGATTGACTTGGCAGATGACAAAGAGAAGAGGTGATCATGAAGTTCACAAGTAAGAAATATAAAACCAAACAAAAAAACAACTACAATTTCATTCAGTTTTATGCTTATGAGGGAAATGATTTTTCAATGGACTGTTATTCTTGCTTCTGAATATAGGCAAACAGAGGAGAAACCTGGCTGGTGCTCTGACCCTCGTTTGCCTCCCTGTTCAGCGTATGTACCGTTCTCTGCTTTTTTCTGTCTTTTTACCAAACAACTGTTCGACTTTCCAATTGTTCTGATTGCATATGCATAATTCTTGGACACAATTTATTTCATTTTTTTCTACACAGATTTATAGAAATCATGGCTCCTGTCTTTTCTAGAGAGGCATGGCGTTGTGTATGGCACATGATACAGGTTAATTGTGATTTTCTATTCATTCACTCTTGGATCTTGAAAGTCTTCAAATTTGTGGTTTAATTGTCTTGATCTGGGAATTGTAGAATGACTTAGTTCACGGTTGGGGTCTTGACTTTGCCCTCCAAAAATGTGTTGAGGTGAGTCGTGCTTGTCCCCTTCAAAATCCACTTGTTGACTCTATGATATATAGATAGTTTATAGTCTGTCTGTTCTGTTATATCTGCTGTTAACTTTGTGGCCGTCTCTGTTGTAGCCTGCTCATGAGAAAATTGGAGTTGTAGATGCTCAATGGATTGTTCATCAAAGTTTCCCTTCACTTGGGAACCAGGTAAAACATGAAATTGGTAACACTTGCCACGTTTTGATTTATACACATTATATGCATTTTTACATATACTGAACCGAACAGAGCGACATGAAAACCGGACCCCAAATTTGTCAACAGGCCTTTGATTGACGTTATTGTTCTAGTAAATGCATTTTACCCGTTTCAAGAAATAATACCATCTTCCTTCGATGTTTTGATAGGGACAAGCAGAGAATGGAAAGGCTCCGTGGCAAGGGGTACGTAGTTTCGACACACCACTATATAATTTATGTGCTGACTTCCACACATAAGAATTTCTTTCTCCATTATCTTTTGCTACCAAACATTTAGGATATATTTGGTATGTAGTATTGGATATGACTAAAATAGTAAAAGATTTTAACCTTTTTATTTCCTGTTTATACGGTCCCGTGCAGTATCTATTATGTATTTATATTAATTAGAGTTTTGCTTGTTGGTTCCAGGTGCGTGAGAGGTGTAGACGAGAGTGGAAAATGTTCCAGACTAGGATGGCTGATGCAGAAAAATCTTATTACAAGGCAATGGGAATTAATCCTCCCAATTTCAAATTTCACCATTAGATAGTGCCATTAAGCATAGGGTCTAGCCTCTAGATTTGAATCTAATTTTTGTTGCTGTAGATAAAACATTTTTTGAGTTAATAGTTCCAATGATCACTGAACTTACATATCTTTGATTGCTTACTGAAATTTAAAATGTCGAGTTTTGAATCTTTTGATCGTTAAACTTAGGTCCATGTTTTTTATTGTTTATTGAAGTTTAAAATATCGAGTTTTGGCCAATGAACTTTGGAAAATATTGTACGTTACTTAATAGTAGAACTTCTATCTCAAACATCTAATGGAATGGGTGATAGAATTAATCTAAATGGACATGCTCAATGACAACCATTGGTGACAGAATTTTAAAAAATCTGAGCTAGTAGTTGAAACGGAGGGAAAGTTGCACGGCACATACCACCCGATGACTTTACTCAAAATATTGCAACCTTCAAATTGAAAACCATTACTCGAAGTCTGACCATCGACGACCCTGACCACCTCGTTGAATTCCGGTGTTAGCCAAAATCTTGCAATCCCCGTAGTTGATGGTCCGTTGTTTTGCAACTAAAGAGTTCCTATTAAGTTGGCAAAAGCATGAAGCAATCCCTGAAGAAGCCCTTTTTTTGCTGGATCGAATTTAAAGCAGTACAAAACTGCCTAGTTTTTGAAATTTTTGCCCGACCGAATAATGTATAGATGGTGCTTCCATTTTGTTTTGTCTAAGTCAAAAAAACATCCGCTAATTTGCATGTCTCGAAATGAATTACAAAGTTTGCAACCATTTCTAATCAACTATTAAGATGGCCAACATAAATAATTAGCAGAGTTCATGTCCACTGAATCTCTCTGAGTTGTTCACGTTCTTCTTTTGACACTACTGGGTTACTCACTATGAGCTGCTGGAAAAAATTAAATCACCATTGGCAGTCTCCGTCTCAAACTGGAGCACAGCAAACAAATGGAAATAGATATACAAATGGGTGTGGTGTCTAGTGGCGGATCTAGATGGTGGCGAGTTAGGACGGCCGCCCTAATTAAATTCACAGGAATTGTTGGAGAATTATTATTATTGACTATAGATTAAATTTTTATGTTATATTACATGTGACTCATTTCATATTTTCAAATTTTTCTTGCAGCTCAATTGGTTAGAGCTTGCATGCGCATATTTGAAGTTAATGAATTTATTGTGTTTTATTTTTATTTTACAATTTTTATCAAAATTCAATAGGAAGGGGACAAAGGGGATTCGAACCTATGACCGCTTTCAAAATTATTGTAAACTTAACTATTACAGCCCTTCTTGAGTTGTGTCACTAAATTTAACAAAAAAATATTTGTTAGGTTTTAATTGTTTTAATGCAAAAACAATTGTAAAAAATTTGAATCCGCGCACTTTCTTTGAATTATACAAAAGTTGGCAACACTGTCATTTGATGAGTCCTATTTATTCTTAAAACAAAATTATATATATTCAATTTGAGCAAAATAATTTTTTTATTTAAACTTTAGGCCTTGTTTGATTCTTTTTTTTTTTAAATACAATTTTTTCTCTTATTTTCATCCATACGTTCTTCAACAAAATAATATTATACGCAAATTCAAGACTTTTCTTTATTTTTAGCCAAGCATTCTATATCAAATTACTATTTCAAAATGCATTTTTTTTTGTGCCAAAAATGGATATTAAATGGACTCTTAATATTTTATTACGGTCGATAATAAATGGTAAACAACCGCCTGTGCTGAATCAAACTCCTGATTCGGCCTTGGACTGGTGTCCGAAGTGAGGACATGGCGATGGCTTGGGAAAATAATTTCCTTTACAGACCACCGTTGTGCTTTGCTGGTTACCAAAGCCAATTCAATTATTCGGGGCCTGTTTGCGAGTACCGGTGGCGGCCAAAGATGTTAAGGTTTGCGGTGGTGACCATTCTACTGAACTGAGGAGGGTTTGGGCTTCGGGGGTTTTCAAATTTTTGGGGAATATGAAAATGAGTTTGACTTGTTTTTAAAATCCGTTTTCTGTTTTTTCTTATAAAATAATGCCACCTTATCTTGGATACACCATGCGATCGTTGGTGATATGGCTGAAGGAATGCACAAGTGGCGTCTCGTCACATCGTTAAATTTTGAGATAGTCGAATTTTGACCATTAAATTTTGAAAAATGTCTTCTATTGCTCACCGAACTTTAAAGTGGTCAAATTTTCGCAACTAACTTTGAAAAACGTCGAACTTTGGCCACTAAATTTTGAAAGACGTCTTCTATTGCTTACTATAATTTTGATTTTAATCACACATCTATATAATAAAATATTTTACAAGTAAATTTAAAATTTTCTCCAACTTTTAACCATCCATTTTTCAAAAAATCACTATTTTTAAAACTCTTTTTTTATTTTTTAAATAATGGCCATCAAACAAGGGATAAAATTCGTTGTTAAAAAAATCAGATTATTGCAATTAGTAGTCATTTCCTTTGCACAGTTTTGCAAGCATTGTCTATATCACCAGGAATGATTATTTAATTGTACAGTAGTTAAATTTAAATTTAATTTTTTTAAAGAATTTGAAGCTATTTTCATCATAATATTTGAATTTTACTATGAAACATACAATGTATTTATTTATTGTTAAATAAAATTGTATCCAAAATTTAATAATGAATTTTAATTAAATCCAAATTTATTGTGAGCCATAGAAGAGTTTTTCAAAATTTTGTATAAAAAACTCGACCATACTTACTGAATTTTGAGGCGGTCGAATTTTGGCTACTGAACTTTGGCATAGTTGAATTTTCGCCACTAAAATTTGAGATGGTTGAGTTTTTAAATAGTAATTTTTTTGTTTAGAGAATATGTGATTAAAAAGTTAGGAAAATTT